ATCATTGTAACTCTGTGTGTCTTCTGGATCATTGTAACTCTGTGTGTCTTCTGGATCATTGTAACTCTGTGTGTTTCTGAATCATTGTAACTCTGTGTGTCTTCTGAATCATTGTAACTCTGTGTGTCTTCTGGATCATTGTAACTCTGTGTGTCTTCTGGATCATTGTAACTCTGTGTGTCTTCTGAATCATTGTAACTCTGTGTGTCTTCTGGATCATTGTAACTCTGTGTGTCTTCTGGATCATTGTAACTCTGTGTGTCTTATGGACCCCAGTGCTACTGACTTGTTTACTACAATATGTCATCTTAAACATTTATTCTTTCAGGTGATTGTGGTGTGTTGATACATTGCATCTCAGGATGGGACAGGACTCCACTTTATATTTCACTCTTAAGACTCTCATTATGGGCCGTAAGTATAAAACGTTTCTGAAAAGTTGGGCAGAGATGCATCTCCATTCATAATAATTAGCTCTCTCACAGTGACGAGGTGGTACTATGCTTCTCAAGTCAAGGAATTGTAACAGAATCATCCTATAATGTTAGTGGTTGTAAACATTGACAACTGACTGATTTTTTATGTGTGCCTTGAGTTCATTATCTTTTTTTAATATGCACACAAATTCAAAATTGATAATTCAACTTGATTTAATTTACATGTCAAATAACAGTCTTCTTATTTCACAGGACGGCAAAATGCATAAATCACTGTCACCGATAGAAATGCTATATTTAACAATAGCTTATGATTGGCTACTATTTGGGTAAGCTTTAATTGTACAGTCATCACACCATGTCATGTTTGATATGTAACCAATAGCAACACACATTCCAACAGGCGCTGCACGATGACTTTAGTGCTTTAAAAATGTTTCTGTTGAAATGTCATCTGTATACCACCAACAAATATTATCCATCAATTCTGTTTTCAAGTTATATTTTCTTATGATTTCTCAGATTAATTCATTAAATCTTTGTTTTACAGGCATAATTTAATTGACCGAGTTGGAAAAGGCGAAGAGGTGAGCTTTCACATCAACTATGAAAACCTCAGGTTTTATCCTTCTTGCTCAACCTTTAACCTCATATTTTCCCAATTTTTTCTATAATGTCTTCATTAATTTCCGACCAAATGGACACAAGCTGCAGGTCAAAATTGTTGAAAAAGTATGAACAACTTGTTTAAGTTTACAATTACATCTGTGTGTGTGTGTGTGTGTGTGTGTGTGTGTGTGTGTGTGTGTGTGTGTGTGTGTGTGTGTGTACTGTAAAAAGTCCACTGATAGAAAAAACAGAATGTGTTGTTGAGTTTTGTTGAGCTGTGTGGAATTTTATACCGGCTATTCTCTATTTTCAGATTTTTTTCTTCTGCTTCAACTTTCTTAAAAACATATCATCAAGAAGAGTTTTCGCTGAAGCAGCGACACCATCGGTGAGTTCTGTCAAGTGCATGTGTATTTTAGCTTGGTTTGCTTCTTTCAATTTACATGTGTACTTATTATGCGTCCGTCCGGAGTCATATCTCAAATCCCTTGAACCGATTCTGTTCATTCCTTGCATGTGCCTAATACTTTATGTGGGACATATGCACATGCAGTGGATTAGCGATTCGATTCAAAATGGCCGACTGGCAGCCATCTTGTTTTTTGAAAATGTTGTATTTTGGACATGCTTTGTCAGTTTTCATTCAAACTTGGTACATAGACTATACATGTTAGGATACATGTCCATGATGATTTATTTCGCAATTGGATCAAAGATGGTCAACTTGCAGGCATGTTTTTTTTTTTTTAGCTCCGCTGTCGACTTTGTCGAGTGGAGCTTATCATATGAGTGATTGTCCGTCGTCCGTCGTCTGTGTCAATGTTTTACTTTTTCGACTTCTTCTTGAAAACTACAAGCCTGAATGCTTTGATACTTGGTGTATATGTACCTTGGGTAGACCTCTCTTAGGTTTGTTCATTTCATGTTGATATCTTCAATTCTCTAATTTTGGTGAATATTTTTGTCATTTTTGGTAAAAAGTGATATTTTCGACTTCTTGTTAAAAACCGCATGTCCAATTGCTTTGATACTACATATATAGGTACTACATGTGGACCTCTCTCAGATTTGTTCATTTCGTGATG